ATTCTCTATTAAGATAAATTTATGTGAAGAAATCCAATAATCTGGGATTGGGAGAGGGGAGTTTGGTGATGAAATTTCTACTCCATCTTAGAATTTGGTTATAGAGTAGAAAATGAAAACTGAGCAGTCTGGCACCCTAACTTTGGGGTGAGCAGATTTCAGAGTTCAAAGAAAGAATTGATAGGATTCCATAACCTAAAATTCTTCAGAGGAAGTCAGACCAGAAGGGTTATGAAACTTTCAAAAAAAAAAGAGACATTAGAAATGAAAAGAGAACTTTTAAGAAAAACATAAAGAAGGTGGAAGGAAGAGCAAGTAATAGAAGATGAATGTAAAAGTGAGAAAGAGACCTTAAGAACAGAGTCAAGAGAACTTTAGCTCAAAATAGTTGAGGTTGGGGATGAATGCTAATTCAGCAGTATAGTAATGATGTTAGCATATATTTATATAGTACTTTGAGTTTTCCAAAGCATTTTATATATATTATCTCATTTGACTCCCACAGCAATCCTGTGAAATAGATACTATTATTCTTTTTTATTTTAAATTTAAATATATACATATAATACATACTCTCTCTCTCTCTCTCTCTCTCTCTCTATATATATATATATATATGTATAAAATTTCCCCCCCTCACATGTTAAAACAATTTTTTAACATTTGGGTTTTATTTTATGTTTTGAGTTCCAAATTCTACCTCTCCCTCTGCTCCCCCTTCCCTGAGACAGCAAGCAATCAGATATAAATTATAAATGTGCAATCATGTAAAACATTTCCATATTAGTCATTCTGTGCAAGAAGACTTGAATAAAAGAAAAAGAATGAAAGTGAAAAATAGCATGCTTCAGTCTGTATTCAAACAATATTAGTTTTTTTCTCTGGAGGCAGATAGCATGCTTCATCATTAGTCCTTTGGGATTGTCTTGGATCATTGTATTGCTGAGAATAAGCTGCTATTATTCTCCCCATTTTATAGATGAGGTAAAACTGAGGCTGAAATTGTTACTTGCCTATGGTCACACAGCTGATAAGTATTTGAAACAAGATAATGAACCCATGTCTGTACTGACTCCAAGCTCAGTACTTTATCAAGTTAGCCTATGTAAAGTACTTTGCAAACCTTAAAATGCTATGTAAGTGCTAATTGTTGATTATTATGTCATTATTATTATCGTTAGTTTTATCCACTATGCCACCTAGCTTCCTAATGTGATGCTAGTAGTGCTAAGTTGGGCTGATGAAGAGGACTAGCTATTTATTCCCTCTCATTGCCCCCCACCTGCATGTGGGCAGCATTACCCTTTTCCATCTCCTCTTTCGCCCTCCTTCCCTCCCTCCCTCCCTCCCTCCCTTTCTTTCCCTCTTTCCTATCCCACAATCTGTATCCTCTCCTCTCCCCTTCCCCCTTCTTCCTTTCTCTCTTTTTCCCTCTCCATCCTCCTTCCTTTTCAGGTATCAGGTGTTCTCTCTATCCCCATTCCCTTTTTCTTTGCTGTATTTGAGTAATGAGACATATAGATTAGTGTGGTTAACTACATTTATCTTAGAAAACTGGCTTTAGGAAAGTAAAAGGGAATAGAATACAAATAAACTCTTAAGAATCAGAGCTTCAGAGAAGAGGCATGCTTCTGTCAGGGAAAAAGCAGAAGGGAGAAGGAGAAGGAGGAAGAATCACCAGCCTTAGTCTCAGTAGTTCCAGAGGTTTCGGCAAACCCAGAACCTGCTCGGTGACTCTGATGGATGACTCAAATAACCTGTTCTATAACCTCGCATGGCTCCTCAAAGCACCCCTCTTAGCCCCTTGCTCGACTGCCTGTGTGGCAGCATCTCCCCCCATCTCCGCCTGCCACACTAAATCCAGGATGCTGGGAGAACTGGTATATGAGATTACTGAGCTGTGGTCAGTGATTTTTGAAAGCTCATGTACTACTGGAGAGGTAAGGGAAGGAAAACAAATGCTATCCTTATTTTTAAACAAGAAAAAGTATCTTACAGACATCTAGCCAGTAAACTTGACTGATTTCTGGCAAAATTCTAGGATATATCATTAAACAGATAGTTAGGGAATATCTAGAAAGGGGAGCTGTGATCATAAAGAGCTATCATGGCTTCATTAAGAACATGTGATGCCAGACTAACCTGATTTCCTTTGACAAAGTTAGTAGACTGATAGATTAAGGGAATTCTGTGGATTATCTGAATTTCAGGAAAATATTTAACGATGTCCCTCATACTATTCTTATGGACAAGGTGGAAAGATGCAGCACAGGGGTACAACTAAGGGAGTCAGACCAGGTTGAACGGTTAGTACTTATAATTGGTTCAATACCAACTTTTCCCAGGGACATTGGCCGTGGGCATTTGTTATTTAACACTGTTTATCAAAGGATAAAGGCATAGATTACATACTTATGACACCAAACTAGGAGGAATCGTTAATGTATTGTATGAAGAAAGGGTATTAAAAAAAATCTTAATAGCCTGGAACACTGTGCTTAATTTAACTAGAAGGTATTTAACAGGAATTAACAAATCGTCTTCAAACTCGGAGATGGAAGAGGCAGGGTTAGGTAGCAGTTCATCTGAAAAAGGTCTAACCATTTTAGTGGCCTGCAAGCTCAACAGGAGTTGCCACTGTGATATGGCAGCCAAAGACTCGAATGTGGCTTAAGTTACATTAAGAGATGCAGAGGCCTGGGACTAGAATGGGGAAGAGCAGCGCTGCCTTCTGCCATAGTTGGAACACTCCTGAAGGCTTCTGTTCCATTCTGGACACCACATTTTAGGAAAGACTTTGACAAACTCCTTGTGGATAAACTGGAGGGTATCCAGAGTAAGGCAACCAGGAAGGTCAAAGGCCTTGCTAGATATGGGTCAGGTAAAGGAAACTTAGGAATATGATAGGTGTAGTCAAGTAAAAGTGGAATTAAGACTTCTTCTTGGGCAGGACTTGGAGAAAAAAAAAACATTAGTGACATATAATGAGGCAGTGGTTGACCTGCAGCCTCTGGCCCCCAGCTCTTAGCCCCGGATGATGATTACTGGTGTTTCTGCAACCTGAGGGTTGTGGCACCCTATTTTGTATTCTCTGGAGTTGTGTTTTGGGAGCTGGGGGGAAAACCCATGGGTTGGATGCCTGGGAACTGTCAGCCTATGGGTCAGCCTGTAGCTGACATGCTGAGGCCCATGTGTGTGGGCTTGGCTATGGCCCCTTAGATTTCTGCTCTGAGCTCTGAAGGTCTGCCCAGAGGCTGACCTGTTGAATGGATGAGGCTTAGTCTTAGCCGTGTTCTTCCTTCCCACCAGACCCATCTGTGTGTACCCGGAGGCCCACTCCTTCCAACTTCCAGTTGTGGCTCTTTCTGATGACCAGGAAAGCCCTGTCAGCTCAGACTTTCCTTTGACTTCCATACTAGAGACCACAAAGTCCCTTCCTTGCTGCAGGTGTCCTGCCTGCCCTTAGTGTTTTGGCCAGGCAGGGAAGGTTGGATCCATTTTGCCACTTTCATCAAAATGGCACTCACCCAAGTACTAACCCTGCCTGGTCCAGGTTTGCTTAGCATGAGGTTTAGGGTATAATAGAAAGGAACACCGGCATCAGAAGACCTGGGTTCAAATTTTGACATTGCCATTGACACAGGTCAGTGTTTTTGTCTGAACCATGGTTCCCAAAAGGATGATTTCAGTAAGGTCTGTTTTAGCTCTGACATTTTAAGACTCTATATGAGTATGGGTGGTTCTGTTGTGTTCCAAAAATTCATTCATTCTTTGGGATTCAGAATAAACTAAAGGTTTGTTAGGTTCTCAGTTTAGCCCACAAAAATCTATTCATCCCTAATGTAACCATTTTTCAACTACATTGTGGAATTTTTTGGGTCAACCACAAAATAATAGCATCTACCTCCTGGGGTGGTTATGAGGATTAAATGATGCCAGGCACATAATATGTGCTATATAAATGTTGTTGTTGTTGTTGTTGTTATCGGGAACCTAATAATCATTTGTAACACTCTTTCTACAGGAAACATCAAGAAGGTATTTCTTGTCTTCACCAGTCTCTTGTCCCCCAGACCCAAAGAAGCCTATCCTTTCCTCTAGCTGTAATGCCTACATTCCACCAAGCATTTCTCTTGACCTATGGCATGTGGCTAGCCCAGCAGTTTGTAGGCACAGGTCAAGAGATCCTGGGAAAATAAGCTAATAATAAAACTAGGAGGACAAAGCTGATAGGATCTTAGGATGACCTAAGTGACCTCATTTTATATGAGAGATTGAGGCCCAGAGGGGAGAAGGGATTTGGACATGGTCACACAGCAGGTCATTGGCAGAGCTGGGACTACATTTCAAGAGGCCAGGTAAAAGCAGGTGAATTGGATGATTTCCTCTCAGGGAGTAACTGGAGTGCTTGGATACTGAGGTTTCTTTGAGCTCTGGAATTCCAGTGCTTTCAGAGCTCTCGTGCTCTAAAAGGTCTTTGATGCCATGGGCATGGGTCCTTCTTTCCAATGACAGGCCCTGACCCCTCCCCACACTTTAGTAGACTTTCATGGGTTTTAGCTGGAAATACAGACTCCCTGGTTGCCAATTCTCGGGAGATGAGCTGCCCTATATTTAGCTTGGCTAGTCTCCTTATGCCATGCACATCAATGGCCCGTATCTCTGGTGTAGGAGGAAGAACACTAGCTTTGGAGTCTGAAGACTGGGTTGAATCTCAATTCTCCCTCTTCCTACTTGTGTGTCCTTGGAAAAGTCACTTAATCTCCCTGGGTTTCAGTCTCCTCATTTGCAAAGAGTCAGCCTAGATGACTTAGGATCTCTTCTAGCTCTGAAGTCTACGATCCCATTTGAAATCTACAGGTTGGTTGGATCTTCCAGAGCTCATGCCTCCCCATTATAGCTCTCAAGAGCCCAGAGTCTAAAGAGATAGCAAAAGGTGATGAAGGAGTGTTTCTATGAACCTATAAAATAATAGAGTCCAAATACAAGCAGTGTGTGCTGTTTATTGCAGCTGGTAGGTGTGAGTAATCCCCTGATGAGTGACCTTGGCCCTGAAGGTGAGTCCTGGGTGGGTGGGCTCCTGGGTCTTCTCCAAGACCAAAGCTCATCTGGTAAGTTTGACCCACTCTCTTCCCACCCCCCATCCCCACCCAATAACTTGCCCGGAACCTGCAGGTGTCTCTCAGACCACAGTCCTGGGAGAACTGACCTGGGAGGGGCAAGACCCCAGAGAGAGGTGAGCAGGTGGACAGCCCCTGAGAAGGTCTAAACGTAGTCCTTGTTCTCTGCATCCTCCTCTTCGTCCTCACACTCTTGCAGAAAACCCTGGATTTCCAACAGCCTCTGCCGGCCTTCCATCCTTTCCATCTCATCATAGTTTGGGGCTTTATCAAAGACTTCCTTCAGGGAGCTCCTCACCACTCTCTTGTACCTGGTCTTGAACTCCTTCAGGAGGTGCTGGGCCTCCTGATACTGCTTCTGATCCTCCAGCCTGCGTTCTGCACGCTTCTGTAGAACAGAACCTGCGAACAGAAAGGGGCACCTTTCTACAGTTCCTATGCCTGGCCCTGGGAATCCCTGGTGGGGATGTCCCTAGTCTGAAAGATTTCCGTATGGCGACGGGAAAGGAAGGCTTGGGTTCTAGTCCTGACTCTCCCACTAACTTGCTCTGTGACCACAAACCAGTCACTTTCTCTCTCTAGGTCTCAGTTTGCTCATCTATTTCTAAAGCCCCTTCCAGTTCTGGCCTTTTTCATTTCATGATTAGATGGTCTCAAAGATCCACTAAGTATTCCTCAGGAATCTAGCTCCTCTCCCCTCACTGGACATCATTTCTTCCCCCCTAGGCTCCAAAAGGAGCTACATAGTCCTCCATCCTCCCCACTCCCATTCCTATGGACACTACTCAGGTACCTCTAGGGCTGGGGTTGGGGAGCAGCCATTGGGTGAGGGCAGGGAAGGACATACTCAGTGGACTGTCCACTATTTGCTGGGGGTTCCTCATTTGATACAAGATTTCCTCCAATAACTGTGCTCGGGTCTTCCGAGGGCTAGGAACTTTACTCCGAGGGACCTGTATGTTGGGGGAGGGGGAATGATATGTTAGTTGAGACATATCCCCACCCCATGGCTGGCCCAGAGTCCCCTCCCAAAGTGCATCCTCTGGCCCGAGTGCTAGAGGTAAAACAAGCCAGTCCCACTGAGAGGAGGCTGTGGGTTCACAAACATCAGACAGTATCCTTACAGGAAAATGAGATGGTGTCCCTGGTTTCCTGTGGGGGAGAAAGGGAGAAAGTCCCCCAGGACTGGAGGATAAGGAGAGACCCTGGAATAAAGGGGAGAGACATGCAAAGTGGAGGGAGGAAAAGAGGAGGGCGAAAGGGGAGACTCCTGGAACTGTGAGGGAGGGGGGAAGGAAAGCTCCAGAGAGTCACATGCAGGGGAGTTGGAGGGGCACAAGAGGCCTGGCTCCTTTCGCAGGGAAAGGACCCTGTGGTCCGTTTACCTGCTTTTCCTTGGGGCAATAGGGATTCTGGAAAGCATCAAGCTTGGCCTTGGAGGAGCGATAGATCAGCGGATGCTTAAGCAAATTGTACAGAGCCTTGACATTCTGTTGGATTCCTAGGGCCAAAAGGATGTGCTCACTCAGCTTCTGGACTTATTCAACAGAGCTGACTTCTCTCCCTGGAAGCTTTAGCTAACTGATTGACCCTGGTGGGTCATTCTAGCCCCTCTCTCTATCCCAGTCAGATAATGATAGTAATTATAATTTACATCTATCTGGCGTACTATAATTTTAAAAATGCTTTCCTCATAATGCCCCTTTGAGGAGGAAGTGCAAGTCTTGCTATATGCGTTTTAGAAATGAGGAAACTGAGATGCAGAAAGAAGGAATAATATACCCATGGTCATAACTGTTAAGTGGTACAGCTGGGATGTGAATATTCCCTGGCTCCAGGGGTCTTTCTGCCATAGCACACTGCCTTTCTTAAGGAGCTGTCAGCTAATTACTCCCCACCCCTCCCCACCTTGTTACCCTTGAATGAGATATTTGTAGTTTAATAGAAGATTGTACAGATCAAAAGGCCTTCAAGACCTAGAGTCCACCAGGCTGGTCTGAATGGTAGATACCCCTCCCCCCCACATCCCCATCCCATATTTCCCCTACCATCTGTCATAGGCAACTGTCTCGATTACTTCTTCTATCTCTTTTGCTGGATCTTCATCCAGGTAGAGTCTTCTAATGGTGGGTGTCCTCCAGGGTGTTGTCCCGGGCCCTCTTCTCTTTTCCCTCTATACAACTTCACTTGGTGATCTCATCAGCTCCCATTTTCAATTGTCATCTCTACGCTGATGATTATCAGACCTACTTGTCCAGCCCTAATGTGTCTCCTGGTCTCCAGTCCTGAATTGCCAACTGCTTATTGGACATCACAAACCAGGTATCTTGTAGACAGCTCCGATTCAATATATCCAAAAATTGAACTCATTATATTTCCTCTTAAACTCTCCACTTTTTCCGTACTTCCCTATTACTATCGAGGGCAACTATCCTCCCAGTCCCTCAGGTTCGAAACCCAGATGCTATCCTCAACTCCTCTCTCCTCTCTCTCTCTCTCTCTCTCTCTCTCTCTCTCTCTCTCTCTCTCTCTCTCTCTCTCTCTCTCTCTCTCAATCTCTGTCTCTCTCTGTCTCTCTCTCTCTGTCTCTGTGTGTCTGTCTGTTTCTCTCCATCTCATATTCAGTCTGTTACCAAGGCCTGTCCATTACACCTTTGCAACATCTCTCACATATGTCCCCTTCTCTCCTCTGACACTACCACCCTCCTGGTGCAGACCTTCATCATCTCACACCTGGATTGGTACCATAGCCTGCTGGTGCTTCTGCTAGCCTCAAGTCTCTCCCTGCTCCAATCCTTCCTCCACTCATCCACCACAGCTGTCAAATTGATCTTCCTAAAGCTCAAAGCAGGTGGTGATCACCCCATATTCAATAAACTACACTAACTACCTGTTACTTCTCAGACTAAATATGAAATTTTCTGTTTTGTGTTCAGAGCCCTTCATAATCTGGCCCCCATCCTACCTTTCCTATGCCATCTTATGCTTTACCTACTCCCATGTAGTCTTTGATCCAGTGACAATGGTCTTCTGGCTGTTCTTTGCACTCCATCACATCCCAGCTGTTCTTTTTCTATGACTGTCCCCTATGCTTGGAATTCTCCTCCTCCTCATCTCCACCTCTGGCTTCCCTGGATTCCTTAAAGTCCCAGCTAAAATCCCACCTTCAACAGGAAGCCTTTCCTGATCCCCCTTACTGTTTGTGCCTTCTCTCTCTGTCTCTCTCTCTCATCTCCAATTTATCCTGTATAGAGCTTATTTGTATATGGTTTGCATGTTGCCTCTCCTTCCCCTCCACAGACTGTGAACTCAGAGCAGGGACTGTCTTTTGCCTCTCTTTGTATGTCCAGTGTGTAGCACTGTCCTTGGTGCATAGCAGGTGCTAAATGAATGCTTACTGAGGGATTGCCTGAATGGTTTTGAGTGGATGCTGAACCTGTGTGCTTTGAACTTGGGGTAACTTTCAGGGGTCCACAGGTGGGAGTGGCCTGAGCTACATCCAAGATTATCTGTGCCAAGTGCCTCTCCATTAGAGCAGGGAATCTAGAGTTCATCAGAGCAGATAAACATTTAACAAACTGTACAAAGACCTATCATCCTAACTTCTACCTCCTAGGTCCTAAAGACTAGATCTCTTTGAAAGGAAAAAAAATGATAGTTCTAATATTAAGGAGTACAAGTATAAAGCTCAGAGTGGAGGATGGGGGGAAGGGAGGACAGCTTATTGTCAGACCAATGGGTGACCACAGCTCAGAAGCTCCTGCTAATATTTCTTTCACCAGACCAACCAGAGAACACACTAGTTCAAAGAAGTCATTTAATTAAAGAGCAAAGCAACATAAGATCCCTTCATACCAGGCCCATATACATAAGAATCCCAGTAAATAATTATATAGTTAGTGGCACAATGAGTAGAGCCCTGGACCTGGGGGGTAGGAATCCCCGTGTTCAGATCTGGCCTCCGACACTTACTAACTGTGATGCTGGGTGAGTCACTTAACTGTCTACTTCAGTTTCCTCATTGGTAAATGGAGTTGATAAGAGCACCTACCTCCCTGATTTGTGAGGACCAAATGAGATATTTGTAAAGTGATTTGCAAAATTAGTGTTCTATAAAATGCTAGCCTATTTTTTATTATTATTGTGAAGGTACATATCTGAAACCTTTTAAGATTTGCAAAGAATTTTTTCTCACAACAACCCTATGAGGTAGATAATGCTAGTATCTTAATTGCTAGTATCATAAAGAAATAAAGGCTCATCAAGGCCAGGTGATTGACCCACAATTACCTGGCAAGTTAGTATCAGAGCCAAGAGCCTTTACCTTTTTCCTGTACTTATAAATAGGTTTGTGGGGAGCCAGGGGAATGTTGCTTTGACAAAGTGGGACCAGGATCCAGGCCTCTTGATACCAAGGGGTTCTTCCCACCTCTCTACACCATCCCTGCACATAGTAGGTGCTTAATAAATAATGACTCTTTCCCTTTGATCTGACAAATACAAGATGGCTTCCCAGAGAAGGTGGCATTTCAGGAGCTGGAGAACCTAGGTTAGCTCTGCTGACCTTCTGGTGTGACCTTGGCAGGTCCCTTCTCACCTTGGTCTCAGTTTCTTTATTTACAACAAGGAGAGGATTGATGTATGATAAAGGATCCTAGGATCCCCTTAAGTAATTTCCCATTTCTGAATCTTCAAGTTTCTCATCTGTATAACAGGGATTGATTAGGGGGATCATTCCTAAAGTCCTCTTCTAGCTCTAAATACTATGAGCCTATTGTGGAGAGGAGGGTCAGCTAGGTGGTGCAGTGGATTGCTGGGCCAGGAAGACTCATCTTTATGAGTTCAAATCTGACCTCAGACACTTACTAGATGTGTGACCCTGGGCAAGTCACCTAACCCTGTTTGCCACAGTTTCCTCATCTGCAAAATGGACTGGAGAAGGAAATGGCAAACCACTCCAGTATTTTTGCCAAGAAAACCCCAAATGAGGTCACAAAGAGACAGACATGAGTGAAATAACAACAACAAAGTTGTGGAGAGGAGCTGGGCCTCTCTACTTCCATCTCTTCCCTCCCTTCATCAGATGATATGACTGCAGGCTGGATCAGCCCAGATACTATTTGGGATTTGAATATCTTTGGGAAATGGACTGGTGGGCTGGCTCTCATGACCCCACTCACCCACAGGCTCCACAAAGCTGGGGTCAGGCTTTGTCTGGATCAGTTCCTTATAACCTTTGTACTTCTCTGGGATGGGGGTGCTGGGTTTCCTCGGTTTCTTTGCCTCTTTGTCCTTCTCCCTCATTTTCTTAACCTCCTCCAATGACTTGGCTTGCTTGTGGCTTCTGGGAGTTCTCTGCACCTTGGTCACCTTGAGGTGGTAGATGGAAGATTAGCTCCAGAGGCCCTCGGGGCCCTCCTCCCTCACAGGCAGACACAGCCCCAAACCCCTTCCTGGAGCTCCCTTTGGGGACCCCCTATGGAAGCATCCAGAAGGAAAGTGGCACAGAGGAATGATCTCTGCATTCGGAGTCAGAAGCCCAGCTTCAAGCATTGGTTTTGCCACTTACTAGCTGTTTGACCTCCCCTCCTTATTGGCTACTGCTTCACCATCTATAAAATGAGAGACTGGGATCATCTTGAAGGGATTTTCCAGCTTTTCTGTTTCCCATTCTAGGAATTCTAGAGATGTAGGAGGCAAAGATGAGGAGAGGCAAGGAATGAGTATTTAGAAAATGTTCTAAGCCCTTTAGTATGGCCTATTGAATGGTCTATTGAACAAAGATCTTCACTTCTCACTCTTCAACTTGGCATTCAAAGCCCTCCCTAATCAACTTTCTCTCATTCCTTATCTCCTCCTGGTCCGTCTCACATTATATGCTCCGGGCAAACTGGATGACCTGACATCCCCAGACACAGCCTGCCCATTTAGGCCTCAGTGACCTTGTCCTTGCCATTCCCTGATCCTCCCATCTCTTGAAGCAGCATCCTGAAATCCAAACTGTCCTACAGGCCAATAAAACAGTTCAATCCTCCACAGTGGACTCACTGTGGCCTCTGAATCCTCTGCAACTTCAGCACAGTGGTTCTCAAGAGGCTTGGGAGGTGGCTACCAGAGTGGGGTGGCAGGTGCAAGACACACGAAGGAACAAGGTGAGGTTGGCTATGTTATGCTTAAGGAGGAAGGACTGTGGACAATAGAAGGTTTCTGTGTCTGCAGTAGGAAGGTTGAGAAAAATTATATTAGGATACTAGAACTTTCAGTTGAAGGGACCTAAAGGCCATTTAGCCCAGCATTTGGAAAATCACAGCTGGTCAGATCACACCTGCCTGTTTTCGTATCTCTAGAAAGCTAAGAATTGGTTTTTTACATTTCAAAATAAAGTTTTATAATATTTTAAAAGGTGAAAAAAAATTCTTAGCTTGTGGGCAGTATAAAAATGCCCTCTGGCCAGAATCTGCTGATTCCTGATAGCCCAATCCCTTCTGTATAATACAGAGGAGGAAACTGAGGCCCAGGCAGGTTCCAGGGCACAGCCAGTAAGAAACAAGGCCAGGATCTGAGGCCGGGTCATCTGACTCCAAATGCAGTGATCTTTCTGCTACCATGTGCCATCCTAGCTCTCTCAGAGGCAAGATCTGGCTGGCTATAGGATCCATTGGCCCAGAGAATAGAGGTCATCAGGACCTGAGTCAGAAGCACCTGAGTCATGAAGAAGGATTCTACGCTCCTCACATCATCATCCGACCCTGTTTCAGAACCGGTCATCTCATTGGATGTGTCTGTCTTCAGAGAGTCCTCTTTGGTGGATGTAGAGGAGTGGATAGGTGGGAGAAGTGTGGAGGTCCGCCTAGACATGGGTGGGGCTGTTGTATCGGGCACTTCTGAAGTTGGCAGCTCTAGTATGATGGGGGCCTTTGGGACCTTCGGAATTTGGGTTCTCACCTGTCACAGAAGGAAACCCACAACACCCCCCCACCCCCATAACAACAATCACTTTATGGTTAGAAAGCATTTCCTATGATCTCATTTGATCCATTCTGGAATGAATGGGGCATCAGAACTAACACCCCCATTTTAATGATTAGTAAACTGAGGCCCAAAGAAAGTAAAGTATTTTGCCAAGGTCACATGGGATGAAGGTGGCCAAGCTGGAATTGGAACCAAACCTCCCAACACCAAGCTTGAACATACTTCTCTCCTCCTGAGCCAACATAAGACCAAGACATGGTAGGCATGATAGGGAGTGGCTGAGAAGCCCTGTCCTTTCGAGCTGATTTTGGAACATACATAGTCATTTGGCAACTGACTGTGGTCTGTTAACCCCATGGTCAAGAGAATGGACTCTTTGATTATCTGTGGCTGCATGGCTGGAACTGGGAGGTATATTAGTTGTCCAGAGCCCGTGCCCTCTCTTTGGCTAATTTCATCTTGCCTGGCAGCATTCTAGAGAGAGGAGACCATTCTGTGAGGAGAGAAGCCCGGGGCCCTCTCCATCCAAGTCCAACATACAGCCTAGATATGGGCCTTGGTCCTTTGCCTTGGCCTTTGTCCTTTCATTTTAAGCAAAAGGGGATTAGGAATTATGACCTTGTTAGTTTGAGAAGGTCAAGAGAGCAAGCCGCCAGGAGATTCAGGAGTAGAGTTCATGTTAGGGATCCTAACCCTTATGAGCAAATATAGAGTGCTCAGCTGATGCAATGCCCACGTGGCATACACATACATTATGTAACTGCTTCTGGTCTGCTAACCAGATGGTGAAGAGGAGCCTCTTTGATTGGCTGTTTAGCCAAAACTAAAGGTTCATTTGTAAGGTACTAGTCAACTAGAATTTTATGGTTCCTTAGAACTTCTAAGCTGGACTGACTGGTTAGGATCCCTAACATGAACTAGCCCAACACTAACCATGAGGTTAACTGACTATCATGCCCACCATGTCTTGGCCTCATGTCTTGGTCTTATGTCTTGGCTCAAGAGGAGAGAAGTATGTTCAAGCTTGTTTATAATCTCTCAGAGACCAGGGCAGGAGAGGAGAGAGAGAGAGAGCTCTGTAAGTTGGGGGGCGGAATTATGACCAAAGTAGGGGTTTCTTTAAAGAACAACTGTATTTACATTAGAGATCACAATTCTGATAGTCTGGCCTCAGAAGATAAACAATAAAGTGAAGAGATTTAGTCATCCAACATTATGGGAACCCTGTCACATGTGATTTGGGCAGGTGGTACAGTATAATGGGAAGAATACCAGGTGAAAGGCTTTGAAGAAATAGGGTCAAAGCCTGGCTTTAACACTCATTAGCTACATTGGCCTACAGAAATCACTTGGTGTCTCTGTATCTTAGTTTGCTTCTCTGCAAAATAGGAAAAATAATACTTGGTCTTCCTATCTGATCGGGGCTTTTTTAAAAATATAATTTCATGAGACTTAGAGGAAAGAAACTTTCTCTGTTGATGCAAATCCACAACTGGTCTGCACCCAGAGACTTAGAGAGTTGCCTAATTAGTCTTCTTCAAGAATGAAGGACAAACAAGAGTGCTGGGAAGTTAGAAGACTTGAGTCACAAAGTATGTATCTACATTAGGACCTGAACCTAGATCTTTGTTTTACTCTAAGGTCAGCTTTAAAAATATTTTGTAAAATTCAAAGTCCTAAATAAATATGAATGACCATTCTTCCAAAATTTTAGTAGGTCTGTGATCTCCTCAAAATAGGCAGTCCCTCCTCCTCCTCGCCTACATGAACCATTGGTATCTATACAACATTAAGAGATTTAAAGGAAGTTGAGTGGATCTTTCCCTCCATACTCAATGGAGGACACTATCCATCCACCATCTTTGTGTGACTCTTGCTTGTACCCATGCATATATTCTCCATTGGGGGAGGGAAGAAGAGAGAAAGTTCACTCAACTTTCTAAGGGCTTTCCTCTAAATCTCTTGATGTTGTATGGATATCAATGGAGGGCTGTTCATGGATCAACCAACTTTCTTTTCCAGTCATCCATCTCCTTTATTCCGCTTCTCCTATACAATAATTTAATGATAATACTATCTAGCCCACATGTGGTCCCACTGATAGCTACCATGCCTTTAGCCATTTCCTTTTGGAAGACCCTCCATGTTAATCCTTCAATCTGTGGCATTACAGGACTTGCAGTATAACAGCATCATCAGAGGAATATTGTTAAAAAGATGGATTTTTGTCATTAGGGACTGGGGAGTTCCAAGGAGACCCTGGATGACGCCTTGTCAAGGAGTCTATAAGAAGGAATTCTTTGGTTGGAGATTAAACACTAGATGACCATGAAAGCCCTTTCTAGCTCAAAGATTCTGTGATTGGATGTGATTCGATTTGAGGTCATGTAATAATTGGGCTAGTGCAGCAAAACCCCTCTGATATAGTTGTACATGGCTCTCATAGCTTTAAATTTATTAGAATCTCTCGTTCTCTAACCCCCCAAAGCACCTAAAATCTTACCACTGAAGAGCTATTCTTTGGGTCTTAAGAGCTTGTGAGACTCCTATTAAATTGCATCTACACCTTTCAGGGGTAGTATGTGGGGAAGATTAGCTAATGGCTAGCTAAGAGAAGTGGTATATGCTGCAGAAAAAAGGACCTTAGATTAGGAGGCAAGAACCAGGGTTCTAGTATAAGCTCTGCCCCTAATTAGCTGTGTGACCTTGAGTGAGTCATTTCACCTTTCCTTACCAATAAAATGAGTTAGCTCTAATACTTTGTTCAACATATACATTATAGAATACTCCTCTCAGGGATATCTATATTTTTATGGAGCAAGTGGAAGGCTAATGTTTAATTCAAAGAAATGAATCTCTAACAGTGGGACAAGGAGTTTGCTCAGGCACCTTGAGGCCGAACCCTTCAGGCACTATAATAAAAGGGTGAAGGACACGCTGCACATGCAGGTTAGCCCTAGTGGTGGGCCCATTCCTGTGTTAGCCCCTATGAAGAGGAATGTCTTGTGGCCTCCCCATCCTGGGCCTTCCTCCCATAAACCAACAGGAGCCCCTTGGGCCCATCTATACCTTCCGGTTGGACTTCCGAGGAATTACAACGTGTGGACGCTTGAGCTTCTCAGTAGGCTTTCGAATTAAGCAGATCCCCAGTCTTTTCTGGAGGAAGCTGTACAGCAAAGGTGGATCACCTGTTGGAGAGGAGAAACACGGATGTGCCCTGGTCAGTGCCCTGGGCTGGGCCCGGGACAGAGTGCCAAACTTAGGGCCTTGACCAGAGAATCCATCTCTGTTTCCAACACAATCTGCTTTGTGCCAATCTGTTTTGAGTTTGGACCCTATGGCATGACCCTAAGGGAATCATGCACAGTTCCCACAAATAAATGGGCAGGGAGGATATGCAGTTCTCTCTCTCTCTCTCTCTCTCTCTCTCTCTCTCTCTCTCTCTCTCTCTCTCCCTCTCTCTCTCTCTCTCTCTCCTCTGCCCCCTCCTAGTTGAGCTCTTAACCATAGCTTGACACTACTTTCACACCTGCCAAACACATAGTACCCATACTACAAATAGCTGTCTTGGATACTTTGGGCACTAGACTTAAGTGATAAATAGACCATCAGTGAAGAACTGCCTTCTCCTGCTGGTTTTTATCAGCTAGCTAGCACTATACTGGTCCAAGTATAGGCCATGTCCAAAATGGGTCATGCCTCTAAAATTAGATGCTTTTGAAAGGAATAAAAGTATAATTATATTCCAATGCTCAAAAATATCCCTGAAAAAAATAGAACCTATTGTAGGCCATGCTCAGATTTTACTCAAGCCAGATTTTGTAAAGTAAAGTGGCTTCTATGTATTTCCCTTCCAATTACTCTATGTATGTACTTAGCAATTTGTATGCTGTCCCCTCCATTAGACTGCAAGCTCCCTGAGGGCTTAGAAACTACAGCCTTTCTTTGTATGCCTAGTGCTTAGCACAGTAGGCATATAATAAGTGCTGAATACATGCTAGTTGTCTTAGCTCAAACTGACTTTACATACATTATTCTCATTTGAGCCTCACAACAATCTTGTGAACTAGATGCCATTATTGACATTTTATAGATGAGGAAATGAAGGTTCAGAGAGGCTCACTGACTTGTCCAGAGTCACACAGCCAGTAAGGGTCAGAGGCAGGAGTTGAACCCAGATCCTTCTGATTTGAAGCCCAGCTCTCTTGGCACTATTTTCTACTTCTTCACTTCCCAAGCTGACTTTTATCACCAGTCTGCCTTTGTCTCCTTCACTGGCTCCTCACTCATTTTCTGACCCCTTAATAAGTGAATATTCCCTCCAAATCTCTTGCTGACTTCTTTCTCTATACCCATATTCTCTCCCTTGGCAAGCTCATTCACTCATATAGCTTTAGCTACCACTTTAATACAGAGAATTCCCAAATATATAGCTATAGTCCTGACCTCCCCTTCCTTGCTCCAGCTCTCCCCTCTAACTGTATATAGGACTTCTTCACCCAGTGTTCTCACTGGCTTCACAAACTCTACATGCACAAAAATGAGATTATCTTTCCAATTAAATCTGTCCACCATTCAATCTTCCATGTTGGAACCTTAAGATAATAATTGCTTGACTTGCCTTAATAATAATTTCATCCTTCAATAGGCGGAGAAACAAAGGGAAAATCTATTCTGTATCTGATTCTCATTAAGAGGGGCCAGTGGGTTACTGTGGTGGAAATTATGGGAACCTTGGTGGGCGGGAGTGGTGGGAAGGTGAAGTAAGAAGTGATCACATCTTCCCAGACTTTGCAATAGAAAGAAGATGAAATTAAGGTCATAGACTGACCTGTACCCTAGATTTTGGAAAAAACAGATTTCAAAGGGTTCAAGGAACCCACAGACTAAAATACCTCAGGAGAAGTCTTTCCAGGAGGTATGGGAGATGTTAAGAATGAAATTCTGAAAATGAAAGAGAAATAATTCCAATGAGGAGGAACACATAGGATTTGACTGAAGAGACTACTGTAGATGTGCGGGGAGCTCACTAATCAACTTGGTTATTAATAAGAAATGTAAGGAGAATCAAGGCAAATCAAGGCTAGGTAATGGAACAAGGAAGGAAATAAGCATTTATTAAGCACCTACTATGTGCTGTATTCAGCACTTTACAGTTATTATTTCATTTGATTCTCAAAAACTCTCTGGGAGGTAGGCGCTATTATCATCTCCATTTTAAAACGGAGGAAACTGATGCAGAGGTTAAATGACTTGCCAAGGTCATGCAACAAGGCCAGATTTGGACTCAGCTCTTCCTGACTCCATGTCCAGTGCTCTATCCACCTAACTGAGGATGAGTCTAAGAGTGTGGCATGGTCTTGGAAAAAATGTTAACTGTGCTAAAGCTCAAAATGAACTGAGACAGGGGAAGGAAGTTAAGGGTAACAAAAAGGGTTTATCATTATTTTGTAAGCTATTATAAGCATCCCTTCCTACTCTCATCTCAGCTGATAGTCACAGGAGGCCCAGAATGTAATCTTGAAGTATTAATAGGCTATTAAACTAACTATGTAAAGGTGCTTCTCTGCTCTAATCCCTTTGTGATAAGTCAGTGATAAGTCGGTCAATAAGCACTTATTAAATGTCTATTATTTTCCAGGCACTGTACTAAGTGTTGGGGATACAAAGAAAGGCAAAAGCAGTTCCTGCCCTCAAGGGGCTTGAAGTCTAATGGGGGAGACAGCCTGCAAAATATATATAGGATAAAAAGGAAATAATCAACAGAGAGAAGGCACTAGCTCTAGGGAGGATCAGAAAAGGCTTCTTGAGAAGGTGAGATTTTAGCTGGGCCTTGAAGGAAGCCAGGGAAGCCAGGAGGCAGAGGTGAGGAGGACAGCATTCCAGGCTTGGAGGACAGAAGTGCACGTGCTCGTGGTTTCCAGTAGCAATGGAGTATTGATTCTGACTCTGATTTCAGAATTGGAAAGAGAAGAAGGGGGGATGATTATGTGTCGTGATGATGATGGTTGGGTATAAAGTGAAGCATGACTGCAGCTGTCTCCATATAATGGACCCTGTGAGTGGGGCACTCATCGATCAGGATATGGCTTTGGCAAGAAGGGATTAAGTCCCCTAGGGTGCGGTCTCTTCTCCAGCAAGTTCAGGAGGTAGGAACCAAAGGCAAGAAGATGGAGGGGGGGGATTAAATTAATTGGTTTCCTCTTATTGAACTACCTCCTTGTATCCCTGATATAAATTCACCTCGATCGTAGTGAAGAGTTTAAAAAATCAATTGCTACAGTCTTTTTGCCAGGATTTTATTTAAACATTTGACTCAATATTAATGATATTGATGATTTCTCTCTTTTGAAGGATTAAATTATCATTGAGGGGAGCAGCTGCTTGTCCCCCAAGGGATAATGATGATGGCCTAGTGCTAAGTCAATATCACTTCTATTTCTGTGTCCACTGATGTTCACTCAAATTATCTCAACTTCGCTCTTACCTTTGGTTCCTGTATTTCCTTGCATGAGAATAATTTGTTAATATAGTACATGCCCTTGCCCTAGTTCTGTTTCTTTTGAATAAAGTGTGACCTTCCAGGCCCATAGTCCAGGCATGAATCCTAGCTCACCAAGTTTAAGTGATACCCATTAGGTCAGATTTGCTTCCTTGCACCAGATCTCTAGTTCTGCCTTACTTGTGACCCATACAGCATTTATGTAGATGGTTGAGACTACAAGATTTTATTGCTGGTTCTTTTCTTGGATTTCGTTTCCCATGAGTTTCTGGGCATCTCCAATGCTATTCTTCTCCACACCTTGCAGCTATTGCCCTTGATGCCTAGCTTGGTGGCAATATGTAGATAGTTTTCTTGCTCCCCTTCCTTTTCAGTCTGAAGCTCTTCTGATTTGATTTGCAAGGCTCTTGGTAAAGATATTCTTGCCAATCTTTGCTGGGAATTTCATCCTTGGCCAAGAGTTCATATTTTTTTTTAACTCTTTTTTTAAGAGTTCATATTTTAATCTAGAAATCCAAGCCCTGTTCTCAGACACCACATTATTAAGCAGTATATTCATTTGCCAAATCTGCCTTTTCTGTTCTGAAGCTCTTGTCAGCGTATAGCAGGAATAAAAATATCCCCTGTGCTCTTAAGGTCTTTATTTTTTTGCCCTTTGCACTCCTATGTATTTTATTTTGTGCATTAAAAAACATTATCCTGAGCAGGAGTCCACAGGCTTTATAGACTGACTGCCAAAAGGGACCATGATACAAAAAAAGGTCCTTCTGCATAATCCTTAGTAATGCTTTCTAGATTCTTTCTGGTGTCATCATTTATGTCCATGTGAATTGCCAGAAATGTGTCAAATGTCACCAAATTTGATAGTCTTGGGTCTGTCATATCCTGGAATCAAGCCTCAGGAAACCAAGAGACCTCACACAGCAGCTTCAGTGTCCCTTAGGAGGCTGTCACCAACCACAGCTTCTTCTGACCAGAGAGTGCCTAGGAATCCACACTCGTTCCTTGAAGAATAAGCATTTGTTTCCTTCTCTGAGTCCAACTCTCTTCAGGAAGAGCTTTGGAGCTGTTGTTTTGTTTCATGCATTCAAACACACTTCTTCTTTGTGCAGTGAGAAGAGTTCTTAGAGTATGTACAATATTTTCTACCTGTTATTAACTTGCATGGAGGCTCCTGTGGAGAAGGGGCCAGCCATCCCCATCACCTGCCATATCCAGGGCAGGCAAGTCAGTCTGGCTGAGGCAGTGGGGCACCCTGAGGGGACAGCATGTGCCAGTCAAGTCAAAACTATAATCATCATATCTCCCCTAAGAGACCCTGATGGAGACATCACCAAGGCCCTGAGCCTTGAACATTGAGAATAGCAATGCTTCCAGCCCAGTGCCCTCAGCCATCATCCTGGGGAGCAGTGTCCGTGGAGATGCAGCCAGCAGGACTACAGCCCAGCTACTGAAGACCCAGAAAGGACAGTTCTTGCCACCAAAATCCTTGGCATTGTCCAATGGTTCAGCTTTAAAAATAGATGTGATTTTACCAGTGGAAAACACATTAAAGAAGAGGTATTACTTTCTATGCATCTTAAGGATCCTGGATCTTTTCCAACAGACTTGCCACTGAAATTTCCCATGAATGTTGTCTCCCTCATTAGAATGGAAGTTCCTTGAGAGCACAGACAGTCTTATTTTTCTATCTGTATCGCCAGCATTTAGTTTAGTGCTTTGCTCGTAGTAAGTGCTTAAAAAATGTTTTAAATTAATTAACTAATTCATTGATGAACTTGATTCCATAAATGACTGGTGGAGGATCTTGCTTCAGAGCAATCACACATATTCTCTATTTCTGCTTGGTTTACTTTAGGGTGGCAAAAAGCCTTTTGATTGGCTGCTGAGTTGGAAGTGAGTGAACATCCAAAAGACGTATACAGTCAAATGGTCTTTCTTCCTGGGAGGAGAACAAAGTGCAAGCTGCTGTGGGCCTTCAGCTGGGGAGGGGGCCTCTCTCCCTACACGGCCACCATAGTCCCACAAAAGCATGGCTCCTGTTTCTTTTGTCTTTGTTATGTTCTTCTTTCCTGATCTAAGGTGACTGAGCAGCAAAGACGGAAACAAGTCAGGTTACACACGTTTGGAGAGATTCAGCGACTGGAGTCAGTTACAGAGTCTGCCACCTGCTGGGTCATGTTCTTCTACCTTCCGCTCTCCTGACCTGGGTCAGGATTCCCTTCTGCCTCTAGATCCTTGGCTGCCTTACTGATTTGTGTCAGGGAATAGTTTATTGTCTCAAATGACCCAGAGAGTGGAGAGACATTCCTTTAGCCCCTTTACTCTCTCTTCTAGGAAGGAGACCAGCCTGTATTTAAGCATAGATGATTGGTAACTTGTCAAGGCAGAAAGACAAATATTAGGTACTCTATGTGTGTCAGTGGGAAAAAAATCTCTGGTTTCAGGACGCAAGATTCTTGGTCCTTTTCCTTCTTGCTTAGTAGCACTTGTGGCCAGTTCACCTGGTGAACACTCTTTGCCTGTTAACTCCTCATTCCAGATAACATCTTTTTCCCTTTTCTTGTTAATCTCTCTTCTCTTCTTCCTCTTTTCAGACTCTTTTTTCCCTTTTTTCCCTTTTCACTTCTAACTCATTTCCTTTCCCTTTGCCATGAGTCTTCTGTTTCAGTCCTTGTGTTCTTCCTTAATACATTTCCCTTCATCTCAGGTTCTCTTTCTCCTTAAAGCCTTCTAAATGTACCAGGCACTGGTTTTCACAATTCTGAAATCTTTTTTTAAAATTTTTTATTTTTGGCTAGGCAATGGGGTTAAGCGACTTGCCCAAGGTCACACAGCTAGTAAGTGTTATGTGTCTGAGGTCGGATTTGAACTCAGGTCCTCCTGAATTCAGGGCTGGTGCTCTATCCACTGTTCCACCTAGCTGCCCCACACAATTCTGAAATCTTCCACACATCTTTCACAATCTTCTTCCTCCTTCTTCTTCTCCTCCTCTTCTTCTTCCTCTCTCTCTCTCTCATTCTTTTTTCAAGACCTAGCCTTTCAGAACAAACCTGTTCTCTATACCCCAGGAAAACCCTTTATAGATTTTTTAAATTATTTATTTTTTTAATTTATGGAATAAAACAAACATTTCTATAATATAGTATAATAAAAATATGATTACACATAAAACTGCCCATTAGAGATTAGAAGATAGTGGTCAGCTATCATTTCTGCCCCCCCAACTCCAAAATCTCCTCCTTTCTAGGCTAAGCATCCCCAGTTTCTTCAGCTGATCTTCATATGACATGGCTGATTGCCCCCTCCCCATCTTGGTAACTCTACTATGGATGGAAATTGGTAGCTTGCCATTTTCCCTCCCAAAAGGAGGTACATAGAACTGGACACAATCACATGGGCTCTGACTAGGAAAGATTACCCAGAAGGTATTCAGTATAGATTTATTGGGCTACACTGAATTGCAAACCTTTTGTATGGATCACCAGTGGATTGTTGTGGAAGATTAGCTCCCTTAGAGACGGGAAAAGAGCCACAGGGAGGAGGGCATCCTCGTTTGAGATCTGGAATGACAAGAATACCTCTATCAATATGGCCCCGGCCCTACTAATGGCCAAGCCCCAGCGATCTGGATAATCCCAGGGGATGGGCTTAGGGTGTGAAGTCCCTAGCATTCAGTCTCTACCATCAGAGCAAGGGTATTCTGAGGGGCATTCTTGTTTAGATATGGATTGAAGTGGATGACTTCTGGTTCCAACTCTGAGATCTTGTGATACTATGATTCTGGATTTTGTTATTTTAAAATTCTATTATTTTATGATTCTAAGAAGCTATGATTCGATAATTGAATGTGATTTTCCCACCAAACAATGGCCACTGCCTGCTACTGGGAAATTACTAGGCAACAGAAGCTTGCAGTGGGTACTAGAAATGTTAAGGAGGTTGAATCCTGGGCTGACATGAGAGCTTTGAGGATAACCTCTCTCTGGCATTTGTCTTGGGAACACAGGGGAGCCCTACAGTTTGAGTTTTGTCCTGAACATTCTCTCCCTCAAAAGATGGTTCTGCCGTGACCTAGAAGTCTCAAAGTGAGGCTGTCAGGCAACACTATGTCCTGAGCTCCCCACATGCCCTAGACACTAATAATGGGAAATGTAGAGCTCCAGAAGACAGAGGACAATAATTCTTGCCCACAGGAAGCCTTAAGTCAGAAGGGACACAGATGGCTCCTGATCTTATGGGAGTTCCCAATCTGAGGTGACAGTTAAGACTCCTACCCATAGGGAGGCTCCCTAGGCTGAGGGAAGAGAAAAGGCCCCAACCTACAAGGAGCCTTTGGTCTGAGGCTCTTAAAGAGCCTTTGTCTGAGCTGGAAGGCAGAACATGTTCTATGCCCTCAGGAAGCCCCTAGTCAGAAGGGTGAGACATAGCCCCTGTTCTTAGGGAACCCCTGGTCTGAGAGGGAAGATCCAGCTCTATCACCCACCCTTTGTTAGCCCATGGTCTGAGGGAAGACACAGTTAAATGGGAGGGCCCAAATATGTATCTTCTAGACAAAAGAGAGTCACCTTGTTATGGGCCAGGCTAAGATATTTCAGCTCTGGGAAAGGTGGAGCCCATGTCTGGTTCAGGGCCTTCAGTGACTTCACAGGAAGAATTTCAAATATGGGAGGAAGTGGATAGACTTTGTTTGCCTTAAAATAAGGAAAAGAAAGTCAAAGTGGTATTTCATGGCAGAAGGATCTATAGTGGCACGAGACAGATAGATAGATGCCTCCCAAGAAATCTGGGGCCCAAGATAGCCATTTCCTGAGAGATAAAACTAAGAAACACATTCAATTGAAGTCAACCAGCATTCATTAAGTGATTTCTAGGTACCCGGCATACAAGGCAATGGGTCTGGTGCTGGGGAGACAAAGAAAAAGACAAAACCAAAACAGCTCTGTCATCAAGGGTCTTACATGTTCCTATCCATACACACACACAAATAAGTAAGTACAAAGTAATTTCAGGAAGGGGAGAGAGTATGATAATTAGAGAGATCTTTGCCTAATAAATGTTACTTAAATTGTATCGAATTGAATTGAACCAAGACACCTTGTTCTATCCCTACCAGGGACTTGGGAGCTGTCCACGCTGAAACTTTATTCAAGGACTCTGAGTCAAATTAGACCCAAACTCTAGGGTTCAAAGGGACGCAGATGTATACAGAGATGAACAAACCAAATGGGAAAATAATGCCCTTCTATGAGCCTTGCCCTGCTTAGGCACTGTAGGAAGAATGGTGGATTTGGAAGGACTGAGGCTGAATCCTAGCTCAGATACTTATTGGGTATATAACTTCTGACAAATCACTCTGCCTCTTTGAGGATATGTATCCTCTGTAAATGAAGGATTTAGATTCGATGATTTATGAAGTTCCTTCTAGCTCTGAGTACTATGATCCAATGTACCTAAGAGCAGATTAAACAGCTTCGAGTTCTAGATTGGCTTCTGATAGGCACAAATAATTGAAAATCCTGAATAGGCTGAATTAAATGTGCTAGACTCCTTGAAGGGACCCAGTGGAGACCCTTTGGTTCCATTCCCTCAGCTCCTGAAGGGGAAGAGCCTTTACAGCCTCCTTCAGTCACTAGTTCTATGATTTTAGCCCTTACACTTAATGTCAAGGTCAAGTTTTTCCTAGATTTAACCATGATCTCGCTTGCTTTTACTTAGGCCCATTTCATCTGCAACCACAGAGAATGACTAATCAGTGTCCTTCTTAAACTAAGTTCCCTCCATAGAGGTGACCTGGTACAACGTGCCAAGCACTGGTCTTGGAGCTATAAGGCTTGCATTGGAATCTGGGCTCCAACATTTGCAAGCAGTGAGGGCAAAGTCACCTGTCTTCTCAGAACCTCACTATCATCATCTGTAAAGTGAGAGTAATTATGATTATATTACCTACCTTCTAAGGTTATTCTGAGGAAAGAATGTTGTTAACTGCAATTACTATAAAATGTGAGTTATTATAAGGTGCAAAGACTAGTGGCAGCTTACACTTATGTAGTATTTCATAGTTATTATTATTATTGGCTAACATTTATTTACATAGCACTTTAAAATTTGCAAACAGCTCATCTCATTTCACAACAATCCTGGAAAGTAAGTGCTATTATCATTATCCTCATTTTTCATATGAAGAGACAAGGGCTCAGAGAGGTTAAGAGATTTGTCCATGGTCACACAGCTACTAAGTGTCTAAGGTAATATTTGAACTTAGGTCTTCTTGACTCTAAGTCCAGTTCCTTTATCCACAATACCACACTGCTTCCAAATAGTCTTGTCAGATGGTTAGAGCAGGGATTGTTCCCCCCACCACCCCATTTTATACAAGAGAAAACCCAGTGAGGGGAAATTATTTGCCTCAGGTCATAGAGTGAATCAGGCAAAACCACTGCTGGAACCCAGACCTCCAAGATTGTAAACCCAGTCCACTGCACTACATTGTATTACCTCTTAATGCAGCCCTGCCTTCATCTCCCCTTCTTTAAATCCAATGCATAATTATAATCATAATCATAATCATAATAATTACAATAGTCATATTACCTAGAGGGTCACTAGGTGGCAGCATAGTGCATAGAATTCCAGGCTTAGCGTCAGGAAGACTCCTCTTCCTGAGTTCAAATCTGGCCTCAGACATTTACTAGTTGTGTGACCCTGGGCAAGTCACTTCACCCTGTTGCCTCAGCTTCTTCATCTGTCAAATGAGCTGGAGAAGGAAATGACAAACCACTCCAGTTTCTTTGCCAAGAAAACCCCCAGTGGGGTCATGAACAACAACAAAGCTAGTACATGACAGAGGCAGGAATGAACCTAGGTATTCAGAGAGCTTGTAAGTGTCTGAGGTCAGACGTGACCCCAGGGAGAAGAGTCTTCCTGACTCCGGGCCTGGCACTCTATCCACTGTGCCACCTAGCTGCCCTTATGTACTAGCTATGTAAGCATAATCAAGTTATTTAGCCTCTTAATGTCCCAAGCAACCCTAAGAATATAAATATCAGTGGAGGGAGATTACCCACAATGAAATTACAGGTCTGCACCTCCCTACCACTTCATCCCTGCAACGAAATTATCATCACCGCCACCACCACCACCACCACCATCATCATCATTATTATTCCAGGTCTGATTTCACTGACAAAGGACACTTCCAGTGAGGACACTTCTACCTCTCTCATCCTGAGTTTCCAGATTTATAAAATGGAAACAAGAATAGCAACTACTTCACATGGTTGTTTTGAGAATTAAATGAGACAATATATGTAAATTGCTTTGCAAACATTAAAGCACATTGTGTGTTAGTTATGATTATTATCCATAATAGTTCTGCAGCCTATAGGCTGTATGTGTGAGAGGCAGGGCTTGTACCAAAGTACTTCTGAAGACAAGGCTGGCCCTCTGGTTACTCCATTCTACATCTGTTATTTTTACCATCCTAAGTTAAAAGGTTCAGGGCTAAATATGTGGTCTTACCTGGTTGGATGAATATCCAGGGAAAGATGGGAATATAACCTCTGTAACCAGATAAGAAACAAAGTCTAAGTTGGCTAATGATAATGAAGAAAATGGACATTCATTTGAAGAGGCAGAATACTATGGTATTTTTAAAGGAATAAGCCCTGGGCTTGGATTCAGGAGCCCTAGATTTGAGTTTCATCTCTGACATTTACTAGCTATATGACATCGAACAAGTCATTTCCTTTCTCTGAGTCTAAGTTTCTACATCTGTACAATGGGGATAATAATGATCAAACTACTCATTTCACAAGGCTCTTGTGAGGAATTCAACAAGTGCTTACCACATAGAAGACACATTTTTAGACTGCTTTGTAAACTGCAAAACACTGCAGGAATGTGGGCTGATATTATTCATGTTGGACTTCAAGTTGACAAAACCCTTTCCAAAGCCATTTGCTTATGCTTTCCCCCCTCCTCCCAACAGCCTAGAGAAGGAGGCAGGGCAGGACAGGAGTCATCCCCGTTTGAAAAATGATTTGTCCAAGGTCACACAGTGAATAAGTGGCAGGGTCAGACTAAAATTCAGGGCTCGTGATTCCAAGGTCCAGGCTTTCTCTTTCCATTGCACTGTGATACCTGGATGCTTGGGATCTGTGATCTCATCACTGTAGAAACCCCTTCTAATAGTGCAGATCACAGCCTGTCCAAGCTTTCTCATCCCAGGCAACTCTGATCCACCCAGCATGTTGGGGGTGGGGGGGGCCTTCCTGTGGATCTCATGATATCCCATGGGTGCCAATGAAGTATGCGGGCTCTGTTTGGCACTCAAAGCCCTTCATAACCTTGCCCCGCTCCTACCTTTCCAGTCTTCTTACATCTTACTCCCCAACACATACTCTTCAATCCAATGACACTAGCCTCCTGGCTGTTCCACAAACAATACACTCCACCTCTCAGCTCTAGGCATTTCCTCTGGCTATCTCCCATGCCTGGAATGCTCTTCCTCCTCCACTCTGACTACTGACCTCCCTGGCTTCCTTTAAATCCCAATTAAAATCTCATCTTCTCCTGGAAGCCTTCCCTAACCACCTCTTAATTCTAGTGAATTCCCTCTTTTCCTTATGTCCTATTTGTCCTGTATATATAGCTTGCTTTGTGTATATTTATTTACATGTTGTCTCCCCAGTTGTAAGCACCTTGAAGGGAGGTACTGTCTTTTACCTCTTTTTGTATCCCTAGTGCTTAGTATAGTACCTGGCACATAGTAGACACTTAATAAATGTTTATTGATTTCATCTATTAGTCTCCTCTCCCTTTCATGTCATAAGTGGCCCACCTCTTTTCCTAGTCATACATCTCTTTGATGGTGACTTTTATGTTGCTGTGTGTGTCAGAAATGGGCTGCAGCCTATTTACATCCACCATCCATCTCTCCCAGGCCTTTGAGTGACCTGCCATCTTGAGTGTTTAGATACAGCACTGTTCCATTGTGGCAATCTATTTGGAATGGCAATTCATTTGTGGCACTCTATTTGGATTGGCAATCCCTTTGTGTTGATCCATTTGGATGCCGGCAAGATGGACTTTTGTTCCAGGTCTAAGCTCAGCGTTGTTGAAAGCTCTGCTTGAATAAAACTAGGGGTGGAATAAAATCTCTGGGGATACAATGTACCCACCTGTCCGGTCCACATCCCTTTTCATCGATAATATGGCATAATCTGGTTGTCCTTTTCCCGACTTGCTTTCCAGGAAGGCCCCATTCATACCTTGTGCTAGCTTCTGTTTAGGGCTAGATTCTTTCTGGGAACTAGCTTTTCCCTTGGTTGATTCATCACAGAACTTGGGTAACTGAACTTGCTGCAGGTATGGGATGCGGAAAATCTTGTTTTGTTCCATGCTTAATTTCTTCAGACTGAAGAGGGAAAAAAAAGGGAAATATAAGAACAATAGAGATAGTGTGGTACATTGGAAAAAGCTGCTGAGCCAGAATACCTGGGCTCAGAATGTCGCTCTGACATTATTAAGCCTTAGTACTCTGAGCAACTCCCTGAACTAGCCTGACCGGCAGTTCCCTCATTTGTGAGATGCGGATAATACTATAATACTTGCTTCCCACGATGCGTGGCTATTTTAAGGAGAGTACTTAAAGCACTCTACAAGACAAATACGAGTCATCATTATAGAATATCAACCCTTCTTTTATTAAGGAGGAGTGTGTAACATAAGGAGCACAGGACTTGGGGTCAGAGAACCCACGTTCAAATTCCAGTTCTGTTATTTACTGTTACTTTGTAACTAAACAAACCATTTTATGTCTGTGGGTCTCAGTTTCTTTAGTCATAACACTGAGGCCATTACTTGCCCTTTTCTGGATTTGAGAATCTTTTTTTTATATATATATTTAAAAAAATGTTTATTTAGTTCTAGCTTTCAACATTCATTTCCATAAGATTTTGAGTTCCAAATTTTCTCCCCATCTCTTCCCTCCCCTCACCCCAAGACAGGATGCCAATTCGATAGAGGCTCTGCATATACATTCATACTGAACCTGTTTTCACATTGAGACTTCTAATCTTGGTGCCTGAGACTTCATTAATTTTTCTGGCAGTTCTTACTCCCTGTTGGCTCATAAGCAGTGTCACATACTGGGAAAGGGCCGTACTTGGAGTCAGAAGACCAAGGTTCAAATCTTGGCCCTGCTCCTTGCTTCTACTATTCAGAAAGAGAGTTAATCTGAGCCTCAGTTTCTCCATCTATAAAATGCAGTGTTTTGGTTAGAATATCTCTCTATGTTACTTCTTAGCTCGAAAAAGCTGTCTTTATATGATTTAGCTATGTGAGTTTGGGCAAGATAGTTTATCTGAGCCTTAGTTTCCCCACCTATAAAATGAGGCGGTTAGGCCAGATTATCTCTCTCTGTTACTTCCGAACTCTAAAATGCTGTCTTTATATGACTCAGCTGTGCGAGCTTGGGTGAGCCACTCTGCTTTCTTCAGGGTCTCTGTTTCTGTACAATGAACACTTTGTGCTGGATGGCTGCTAAGATTTCTTCTGGTTCTGAATTCTAAGATCCTGTGACAAAACACCAGCAGAGTGATCTCAGCCATAAACTGCGGCTGAGGCCTTCCCTTGGTGTCAAGGGGCTGGGATGGTTGGGACAGCCAGGGAAGAGAGCAGGAGGGGAAGCTGGTCAAGCGGCTTGCCCGCGGCAGTCAGCATTACCTTCTGAGTCCGGCCAGGCTGGCGAAACAGCTAGGGTGGGAGAGTTTGTTGTCATCCAAGATTAGTGTCTCCAGAGCCTGGAACCTTAGCACATAGCGGCTTGTTGGTCAGGTGGATGACGGAAAGGTTCCTGTGAAGGCAAAGTTCGGGAAGGATCGCTGCTCTGGGTGGGAAATGAACAATCCCTCTTTGAGGGGGGCTCAAGGACCTTTGAGCCAGCCCTACTGAGGAGGCAGAGGATCTGGGTTGGATCTTTGTCCTGACACTGTGTGACCTTGGACTAATCTATCCCCCTCTCTGGGCCTCAGTTTCCTTACCTGTAAAATGATGGGGTTTGACTGAATAATCTGTAAGGCTCTCTCAGCTCTAATTCCTATAATTTTATGAATGAGTTTGGACATTTGGCACCAGTTCTGTGATAACTTGGGTACATTGTCAGCCACAAGACAGTAAAAAAATAGAACCAAAGGCAGGCCTCCAGTGTGTTAGATGACTCTTCGGAGAATCATGAAAACACATGGACAAAAATAATATAGGAGAATTACATTACGGGTGGGATGTGGATGAGCTGGTAGATAGTATCCATGCACTGAGATCCCAGGTCTATCCAAGTACATGTGATACTACACAATTCAATTCACACTCAGGCCTGGCGAGAGAACTGGATATTCCCTCACCATCTCCTCGCTTACATTGGGTTTCTCTATCCTGCTAACCATTTTTGTTATAGCTATTCCCATTCAAATTGGAAGAGACTAGAGATGCAGAATAAGTGTTGAGTTGTTCTGCTGTCCATTATCATCACCATCATCATCTTATCTACCCCTACCAAAGTCAAATCCCAATCATGAATTCCATCCCACCAAGACTTAGTTATCCCTATGAAGCCAAATTTACCTCCTCATGCTAGGTTCCCTAGCTTACCATATATATTATTCATGCTTTGTGTCTTTGTATGTAGACATTGGCAGTCATGGGTTTCATGGCTGCTTTTCTTCTTAGATATTATTTCCTATGAATTAATGGTCTTTTCCCACATTATTCTCTTTCCCCTTGGTTAAACTTACGTGGACAGTTGTTTATTTGTTTTTTTTCTTTTCCTCTTCCTTTTCATTATAAAGTTCTCATGTTTGCAAGACTCCAATTAAATATAATTTTCCTAGATTTTGTTAGGTGAACACCATACCTGGATAAAAACCCAGAAATCCATATTCACAGACACCATCTTTCCAACCAGCTGTTCATATCCCAAAAATGGCTTTCTTTTGTGGAAGCAGTGATGAAAGCACTGGCTGTGCCCCTAAGATCTTCCATTTCTTGCTGAAGACTTCATAATCCTTAGCAATGATTCTTACTTGCTTTATCTCCACTTAAACTATAGAAGAAGGTGATGTTTATCAGGTCTGATAAGTCTTTAAGAGGCTTTTTGTTATGTTCCAGATACATGCCCCAGAAGATAGCAAATCTCTCTTGTTGAGTATGTCAAGTTCTCAAATAGCTGGCTCAGGCCCCTTCAACAGGGAGTCACTAACGACCACTATTCTTTCTCTGTCCATTACTGCATGACATTATCTAGATGTACCTGTGAATCTATTTCATTGCTTGGAGCACATAAAGCTTCTTCCTCCAGAGATAGTACAGCTTCCATACAGGAAGGCTCTCATACCTATTTTTAGCGTTTTTATTTGATTTTCAATTAACAAGCATGCATTTGCTCTCCTTCCTACTCATCTTATTGGAAAAGAAAAAAAGAAAAGAAAAACAAAACCCTTCAGACAAATACACACAGGCAAGCCAAATACATTCTTACACTGACCAGGTCCAAAAAAATGTATATCTCAGTCTGTATCTTGAAGCCAATAGCTCTCTGCCAGGAAGTGGATGGCACACATTCTTATCCATCCTCTGGAATCATGGTGGACCATTGCATTGATCAGAGTTCTCAAGTCTTTCAAAGTTGTCTTTACGGTGTTGTTGTTATAATATAAATTGTTCTTCTGGTTCTGCTCATTTTATTCTGCACTGATTTATATAAATCTTCCTCAGTTTCTCTCAAACCATTCTTTTCATCATTTTTTTTTCTGACCCAATAACATTCCATGTATCATAATTATAGCACACTCCCATTCAGGTACCATAATTTGTTCAGTCATTCCCCAATCAACAGGCACCCCCTTAGTTTCTGATTCTTAACCACTTCAAAGAGAGCTACTTAAAAATATTTTTGTACATATGGGTTCTCTCTCTCTCTCTCTCTCTCTCTCTCTCTCTCTCTCTCTCTCTCTCTCTCTCTCTCTCACCTTCTTTGGGGCCTAACAGTGGTATCAATAGATCAAAGAGTATGCACAGCTAACTTTCTAGGCATTGTTTCATATTGCTTTCCAGAAGTTGGACCCATTCACAGCTCTACCAACAATGCATTAACATGCCTGTTTTTTCCATAGGCTTTCTAACATTTGTCATTTTTCTTTTTTTGTCACTTTTACCAATCTAATGAGTATAGGTGGAACCTCAGCATAGCTTTAATATTCATTTCTCTAATTATTAGTGATTTGAAGCATTTTTATATGGATATTGATAACCTGGATATTTTCCTTTGAGGACAAATTCATACCCTGTGACCATTTATCAATTGGTGAATGGCTCTCATTCTTATCATTTAGAATCAATTCCTCATACATCTTAGAAATTAGAGCTTTATCAGAGAAACTTGCTATGAAGATCCTCCTTGCCTCCATTTACTATTTCCCTTCTAATTTTAGCTACTTTTGGGGCAGCTAGGTGGCACAGTGGATAGAGCACTAACCCTGGAGTCAGGAGGACCTGAGTTCAAATCCGGCCTCAAACACTAGCTGTGTGACCATGGGCAAGTGACTTAACTCCATTGCCTAGCCAAAAACAAACAAAAACCCCCCACAAAACTTTTAAATTTTATGATATCAAAATTGTTTGTCTTCTGTGATCCTCTTAATCCCATTTGGTCATGAATTCTTTCCTTACCTAAAAATCCGAAGGGAAATTTCATTTTTGTTTCTATATTTTTTATGATATAACCTTTTATATCTAAGTCATATATCCATTTGGAACTAATTTTGGTATATATTATGAGGTGTTGGTCTGAACTTGACTTCTGTCAGATTGCTTTCCAGTTTTCTCAGCAGATTTTGCTTAATGGTGAGTCTTTACCCTAGATTTTTGGAGTTTTGAGATTTATCCAGACTACTAACTTCTGTATGTTCCACTGAACAACCTGTCTTTTATAAAAACTAATATGTAATCATTTTGATAATTACTGCCTGTGGTAAAATTTGGTATCTGATACTGCTAAACTACCTTCCTTATTACTTTTTTCCCCATTATTTCTCTTGAAATTCTTGACATTTTGTTTCTTCAGATGAATTTCTTTGTTTTTTTTTTCTAATAACTTTTGGTAGTTTGATTGGTATGGCACTGAATAAATGAATTTAGGTAGCACAGTTATTTTTATTTTATTGGTCTGGCCTATCCATATCCAATTTGTTGCCAAGGCCTGTCCATTTCATCTTTAGCACAGCTCTTGAACACATCCCCACCCTTTTTCTCCTCTGACACTACCATCACTCTGGTGCAGGTGCTTATTATCAGCCAATAGCCTACTTGGGGTGGGGGGAAGAGGAGGGGAAGGTCTGCCTGCCTCAAGTCTCTTCCCACTCCAGGACATCCTCCATTTTGTTGATAAAATTATTTTTCCTAAAGCACAGGTCCAACCAAGTCACCGCCTTACTCAATAAACTCCAGTGGCTCCATATCATCTCGAGGATGAAATACAAAATTCTCTATTTGGCATGCAAAGCCCTTCATAACTTAATCCCCATTTACGTCTCTTCATTTCCTGCTCTCCCGTGAGAGGTGCCTCCCTTGTTGCAGGCAACACCCGTTCCCTCCTACCTTTCAGTCTTTTTACCCCTTAACTCTGCCCCCCGCACCTCCCACATACTCTTTCGGCTAGTGACAGTGGAGTCTTTGCAATTCACCAAACAAGATGCCTCATCTCTCCATCCCGGCATTTTCCCTGGCTGTCACTAATGCCTGGAATGCTCTCCCTCTTCATCTCTGCCTCCTGGTTTCTCTGGCTTCCTTTGAATATCAGATAAGATCCATCTTTCTACAGCAAGCCTTTCCTGGCCCCTCTGAGTTCTTGTGCCTTCCCTCCATCATTTCCTATTTATCCTGCCTGTAGCTTATTTGTGCATATTTGTTGGCTTGTTTTCTCTCCCATCAGACTGTGAGCTCCTTGAGGGCAGGGACTGCCTTTTGCCTTGCTTTGTATCCCCAGTGCTTAGCACAGGGTCTGGCACATGGTAGATGTTAAATAAGTGCTTATTGACTAACAGGTAAAATTTTCTATTGAGGCTTAATTTGTTTAATTGAAGCAAACAATACCCAGGGAGGAGACATAAGGACACAGTAACCCAAGCACAGAAGATTAAATTCAATAATTTAATGAACTCCATCACCTCATTTGACCTTGCTGCTGCTTTCCATATACTTTCCTCTACTCCCCTGGACTCTAGGCTCTCAGATATGGTTATCTGTATATACGTTTTATCTTCTCATTAGACTGTAATCTCCATGAAAGCGGGGATCACAACTTATCTAAACATTGTACCTCCCTAGTGCCTAACACACAGTAGACTTCTTTGTTTGTTTGTTTTTGTTTTTAATGAATGTTGAGTGCTGCCAATAGGTGGGAAGGTAAATTAGTAAATTAGGAGACAGTTGCATCTGGCCATGGACCATACTGAAGGTGGGTTGGAAGGCATATCAAAATGAGATGCTTATAGCTCTACCAGATGGGGCTATGGGAGCATGGTAAAACTAGGTCAGGTGTCACATTAGAAAGAGACTTTTACAAATCTGTGAGAGTCAGTTTGAAAAGCAAATTGAAAGGAGATCCTTGGGTTCTATGAGGGCTTCTTTGAAGCTAGGTCAGAAATAGACACTTACGGTTCTGTGACAGCCATGTTGGGAGGAAGCGAAGTAAGCCCATTGCCTGTTAGAAGCAATATCTTAAGGCGAGGCAGAATTCCTAGCTCACGGATGGCCTCTTGAGACAAATTATTGAATGAAAGATCCAGGTGCTAAGTTCCAAAAAGATAGGGAAAAAAGTATCCAAATGTTATAGTATATTGTGTACTATAATGAAACTTACTCATGGGAAGAAATTCTGTTATAGCTTACAATTTGTATGTTTGCCCTTTCTTCCCATCCTTCAAGGCCCTACCCAGGAGCTACTTCTCCAGGAAACCTGCTCCAGGCCCCCAGCTAGAAGAAGTCTCTACTTCCTTGAATCTTGAATCTCACAGAAACCAATCTCAGAAACCACAATAACCCTTCCAAGCCCAGTAATCCCACCCTGGGGCCCCACTGTCCTAACTGGTAGCTATCTCAGTTGGCAACTACATCTAGGTCTGGGTTCCCAACATAATTTCCTTCACTTCCAAGACCTCTCCCCAGCTGCCATGCCATCATGTATTCCCTTAGTCAATCTTCCTACCCCCTCCAGTTCTAAAAACATAATCAAATAAACTCCATTGTCACTCCTGGAAAAGGTATGTCAATCTTCTCCTCTTTGGCTCCATTCACCATCCCTGTAATTTTCCCAACCAAAATATCACTCCCTGGCCATCACTCCTCTATATTTGTTCCATTGTATGGAGCCTTTTCAGCCTCCTTCACTGATTCATTATCCAAATGATGTCCCTGAACTGTGAGTATATGCTAAGGCTCTGTCTTAGGCCCCCTTACTCTTCTCTCTCTACACTCTTTCTCTTGGTGACCTCATGAGCTCCCATGGGTTTAATGATAATTTCCCTACTAATAACTCCTAGATCTATATAGTCAACCTCAGTTCTTAATACTTAATACTTGAGCTTCCACCCTGTACCACAAATTGCCTCTTGAATATTTCAGATGGGATGTCCTAAAAACATCTCAAACTCAACATGTCCAAAACTAAATTAATTATCTTCCTCCCAAAACTCAACCCTCTCCCAAACTTCCATGTTTTTGTTGAAGGAACCACCATTTTTTCAGTCTCACCCAGGTTTATAACCTTGGTGTTATTAATACTTCATTCTCCCTCACCCTATATATTTATTCATTTATTCACCCATATATTTATTATTGCCAAATCTTGCTTTTTAGCTACACATCTCTCACATTCAAGCCCTTCTCTTTACTCACATGGCTACCATGTCATCATCTCTTGCCTACATTGTTGCAACACTCTTCCAATTGGTTTTCCTGCCTCAAGTCTCTCCCCACTTCAGTTTATCCTCCACAAAGTGAGCTTCCTTAAGTGCAAACTGGGCCCTGTCACTTCCATATTAAATAAGCTCCAGAGGCTTTCCTATAGTCTGTAGAATGAAATATAAACCCCTGTGTTTAGTGTTTGAAGCCATATATCAACCTTACCCCAGCCTGTCTTTCCAGTATCATTATGACATAATTCCTTCTCCTCCCGTACTCTGTAATTCAGTCAAACTGGTCTTCTGTCCCTGACACACAACATTCCATTTGCCTTCTTTCTGCCATTGCACTGGCCATCACCTGTCTTGGAATGTACTCTCCCCCTCACCTCCACCTCAATGAGTCCCTCTCTCCATTCAAAGTGTAGCATATGTATCACCTTCTGCATGAAGCCTTTTCTGATCCACCCCCCTCCCCCTGAGCTACTTGTGCCCTGCCTCCCAAACTACCTTGTAATCAACTACTGTGCATTTATTTGTAGATATTCTCCTTAAGTTTACTCTGATATATTTATGCATGTCCCCATCTTTCAATGCAAGCTTGTGAGTAGGTTCATTATATTTGTGTCACCAACTCCCTGTATTGTACCTGGCACATAACAGGCATTTAATAAATGCTTGTTGAATGATTGATCCCCAAGGCTTAGCAGCATACAGTATCTAATAAAATGCTCATCCATTCATTTAGAGTGCTTTGTTCAAACCTCTCCATTGCACAACTTTTATGATAGTTTATATGGAATTATCTGTGACCATCTCTTTTCTTCTGATTAGACTGAAAGATCCCCAAGGCCAGATATTACATCTGATTTCAGAGTCCATACTCAGTTTGTTGAGTGACTACATAGTACTTTGGCTAGCAAAACCACCATAAAGCATTGGCCAAGCTTTTGAAAATGAATGATGCCTTTGGCTGGAACATCTTCCCCATTCCTCTTTGCTTACTAAATTCATAGCCGACTTAAGGACCACCTCGCTCAGAAAACTTCCCCTCATCTTCCATGCCAGTAATGGACTTCCCCCAATGCCTCTCAGAGGTTTGCTTCTACCTTTCTAACACAAATGTCATCTAATATTATGTGATAGAGTGGGGTAGGGTGGATAGAACCTTGAACATGGAGTAGGGTACTTGTGCTTAATTCTGATCTTATTAGATAAGTGATCTCAGGATAGGTTATTTTATCTCTCTGGGTCTCAGTTTCCTCATCTGTAAAATGAATATCTTTTGCACCACTTGTCTCATAGGATCATTATGAGGAAAGCAATTTGTAAATCGTGTAGTGCTGTAAAAATGCGAAATATTCTTATAGTGATGATGATCAAGATGTATTTGTATCTTACTTCCCTTCTAGACTGTAAGTTCTACAACAGACTGGGTCTAGACGGGGTCTTTTCTAAATTCTATATCTCTCTTAGGATGGAACAGTATTTTGTAAATGTTTATAAAATGAAGTAAGTCAGTAATCCCCTTGGTCAGATGTTAAAATGCTAAATTAAATAAGCATGAAGGAAAATATCTTATTCACATGGGCTATGAAATAGTGGGAATTCTGACTCTCTAGAAAGGGTTTAGGAAAAGAGCAATTATTTTTCCATGGTAGTTAAAACATCTCCATTCAAATCTTCCTCTTTTGTTTCTCTTGTTTCAATTTGGAGGGGACCCTGGTCTTGCAAAAGCTATGCCTGTGGAATGTCAGCTCTGACTGGGCCCACCAAACTGGAAAGTCTTTTGTATATGGGTTCTGCAATGAACTGAGCATCTTCCATCCCAGGGCCAGCCCAATGTAGTATGGGGATGCTCATCACCAGACAGTTGGCCAACATGTGATGCATTTTTGTGGCCATAGCCACTCATGACAAGGGTGGAGGGACTGAGACATAGGGTCATAGATTTAGGTCAGAAGGGACCTTAGAATCATTGAGACCAGCTTTCTCATTTTATAGATGAGGAAACTAAGACTCAGAAAGTGACTTGTGTATTCTGGATGTTAATGTATCTGAAGCGAGGTAGAAACACAATTCAGCTAAAGGGAGGGGGTATGGATGGAAGGCAATGGAAGGTCTAAAATTCAGGCCCCTAATTCTCTAATGCACCCCAGTACTATCAATTCAATTCAATTCAACAAATATATATTGAGAGCCAACTGTGGATAAAGCCTTGTACTCATCCCTAGAAGAAATATAAAGAATAAGGCAGTTCCTGTCATAATAAAGCTTATAATCTAGTAAGGAAGATGAAATACATATACAAATAATTGAAGAACAGGAAGAATATATAACATGAAAATGAAGAACTTTGAAAGTGCAGAGTGGGGAGATGCCATTTCTGACTTCAAAGATCACAAAGAGCTTCTAGACAGAGCCAGGGCTCTTGAGCTGGGCTGTGAAGAATAGGTACTATTTTCAGAGCCAGAGACCGGATAGTTGGTACAGGTGGGTAGAGGTTGGGGTAAGGGTGGGTGGTAAAGAGGACATCCCAGGGGATTTTGTGAGCAAAGATACAGAAGTGGGAAAAGGTAGTGCAAGTTTATGGCCTCATAGTCTTACAATTTGGCTGGAGCACAGATTGCATCAGCCTTAGGGTTGCCTCTAGAGACCTCAAGTCTGACAGCTTGGAGATAGATGTTTGCTTTTGTAAAGAGAAGAGAAGATGCTGAGTAGTGCCAACCTCTTGAAAAGAATATTTTGCACATGGTCCCTCAGAGTGAGGAAGCATCAGGGGAGTCTAAGCTATGGAAGAGTTGAACATAAGGAAGGCATGGACTTTGCCCTCTGCTATTACTGTGATTTTTTTTGTTTTGGTCTGATGGGAAAGGGGTTGCCTGTTTAGCAACCTTACGTGCTATCTATAAGAACTGACTGGAGAGAGAGGAAGATGATGTTGATTATTTAAGAGGCTCTGTGAGACCTATATGCATTTTCTACAGTGTGAAATAAAGGCTTATCTATACCTAATATATGCATTATTCCTTGAGGCCTTATATGGCAGCTGGGGATCTTTTCACCCATATCTGTGGAGAAATAGATAAGACGATAGTTGAACTCTATTATGAAATTTCCTAGAGTAAATTCTGGGTAAGGATAAAGTGAGCCAAAGAGAGAGTGATTGGGATGTGTATGAGGGAGAGTGAGGGGATGCCTCCAAGTCTGAACCAACCACACGTAATCCCAGTGCTAGGTCATATGTTACATATTGAATATATTTTATAAAGGCTCACATTGAAAATGATGAAAAGAATCAAAGTTTTTCTCTATAAATACAGACAAACATATATAAAATACATAAGCTTTCATTATGTGGAAGATGTATTCATTATTTTTGTCATCATTATCAAAGTTCACAATTCATATAGTATTCTGTGGTTACATACTTCACATACATTCTTTCATAACTATTATTATGTCCAGTTTTTAGAGGAGAAAACTGAGCTCCAGAGGAGTAAAATGACTGCCCAGAGGAACACAGCCAGTAAGAACACAGTCAGGTTTCCAAGCTCTAGGAGTGGTAGGTAGGTGTGGCAGTACCCACAGCATGATTCCAGCTCGATTTGATGTTCAATTCAACTCTGAAAGGAACTGAATCGACAAAAAGATACCAGGAAGTACAGTTTTCACACCTCCTGGGAGGAGGGAGCTCTATACCCACAAGTGGAGAGATGACAAATAGGCACCCTCTCTAAGGACACCTTGTCCCAGACTTACTTCCAAGGATCGAAATTCTCCTGTCTTGATGCTGACAGTTTTAATTCCGTTGAAACAAAGTTCCAGTTCCTTTAAAGCAGGAAATGTGTGAAATACCTCTAAATGGGAAATGAGAAATACAACATCTGTATCTTTCATCTCATAGAGACTTACAGATTGAAAAAAAAAACAACAAAAACCACACACATTGAACAGGAAACCCAAAAGCCAAACAGTACAATAACAAATGTAGGGTTTTGGTTTTCTGGGGTTTTTTTATACTGTTTTAAAAAAATACTATTTATAATATATATTTTAATTTTAATTTAATATAATATATATTTTAATAATATTTAATACTATTGCCATTAACTTATAAAGAACATTCAAATTCATTAATTTATTAAGGACCTACTATGGGCAGAGCTACTTAGCACTGGGAATGAAAAGATAAATAAGATATGGCCCTTGACCTCAAGGACTTATACTTTAGTTTATAATCCAAACTATTCTTACATTGTGATTTAGGGCCAGAATCATGAGAGCTTGGAATCACAGAACACTAAAATAATAAAATCTTACAATCAGAGACTTTTCTAATATTATAGAATCGAACTTAGAATCACAGTCTCAGAATTATAGCATTATAACGAGTTCAGAATAATAGACTCAAATTCAAGCTCAGTCATTGATTCTCTACTAGTGTCCTTATCTGATGCCTCCTCCCACCAGGGAGGTGACCCCAGGTGCTTAAAGGCCAAACCAGTGGAATGCAAATGCTGGCAGTCTCCACCAACCTGGAAAGGCTCTTAGGACAGGCCCAGTGACACAATGCTAAGTCTTTAGAGAGACTTATTGCTAGGCTGGCTAGAGGTGATGAATTTTTTCAGCCCCAGCAATTCCCCCAAACCATCTCCTAAGTTGTACAAGGCCTGAAATCTGTGTCATTGAAGGGAATACCCAGACCAGTGGAATCACAGACCTCTGAAGTGTTGAAGTAGTAAGAGTCTTTAAATTAGATAGAAATCTTGGAATTATTCATGGTGGGTCTCATAGAATCCAGTAACATCAAAGAATTTTAGGATCATAGGATCTTAAAATCAAAGAATATTAGAATCTATGATTCTATGTGTTATAAAATATTTTGTAAAGTGTAAAGTACTGTGTAAATGTAAGCAATAACCCTTGGACTTTTTTGAGTATTTCTACTTTTAGACAGATGACAAGAAAACAAGTTTGTGCCCAGAATTTAGTAAAAACAACAAAACAAACAAAAAACACCTTCCCTGGTTTGACCTGGGCTATGGTTCATAGGACTTTATAATGTCAGAGCTGGAAGGGACCGTAGAGCACAGGCAATAGAATGGTAGGGCTAGAAGGGATCTTAGAGATCACTTAATCTGTCATAGTAGGAAACCAAGACAAAGTGCTTTGCACAAGGTAATGGGAGTCATAGGTAGAGGTGAAGCTGGAACCCACATCTTCCAACCCCTTTTCCTGCACTTTCTCCTGTGTCAGGTAGATGTTCAGAATGACGACCTTGCAAAATCAAAAAATTTCACTGTGTTCACTAGATTTCACCTTTTAAGTCAGGAAAGTAGAATTGCACACATTAAGATTTTCAACAATAAGGAAGATAGCAAAGGAGTATTCTGAACAGAATATTCAATTAATAGAGGTTTTATGAACCTTTTTGATTTGTCCTAAAGATGCTTCCTTTATACTTGGTGAGGAAGCTAATTTAGGAGGAACTAGAATGTGGCCCTCTTATTCCTGACTCATGCTAGAAATACACAACCTTACCTCTTAGATTATGACAAAGCAAGGTCCTAAGAAAAGGCAGCATTATTGGGCAAAGACTCTTCAACGTGGAGTCAGGACACCCGGACATTAGTCCTAGTTTTGTCAAAGAATTAGTGCGTGACTTTGGTCAAGTCACCTCTCTCTAGGTCTCAGTTTCCATCTGTAAAATTAGAAGCATTGTTTACCAGCATGGTGCTAGTTGTATTTCTCAACCTGGTGATGACCCCAGAGCTTGCCCCACTATGTGTGCCTTGTGCTCTATCCACTGAAACACCTATCTGCTCAGCAGAGAGGTTAGGGCTAGATAAATAAACCCGAGAATCACCTACATTGAGATATGATAATCAGACCTATGGGCACTGATGAAAAGATGAAATGAGACAGTACAGAGAAGGGAAAAAAAGGAAATCTAGGACATAGTCTTGCCTGGGATACTTATCGTTAGTAAATGTGACCTGGATGAAGAGGTAACAGAGGAGGCTGAGAAGGACTGGTCAGACAGCTAGGAGAAGAACAAGGAGAAAGGAGTGTCAGGAAAACCTAAAGAAGAGACAGCGTCCAGGATAAGAGGGTGATCAATAATGTCAATGGTGGACAAGAATAAAGACTAAGAGGAGGCCACTGGATTTAACAATTAATTTTAGGGACAGAAGTTGGAGTGAATGAATGAGAGGAAATGAGTGAAGACAGATTTCTCAAGGTGTTTAGCCATGAAAGAGTCAGGAAGATATAAGATGATCGCCAGTGGGGTTGGTTAGAACAAGTGATGGTTATATAAGACATTGGAGGCATGTTTGTAGGCAACAGGGAAGAAGGCAGTTAATCAGGAAAGACTGAAGATTAGTGAGTGTATGAGGATGATAGAAGGGGCAATCTGTTGATGAAGATGGGGTAGAATGGGTTTCTTCTTTGGCTTGGCAAGGAGAAGGGCCATCTCTTCATGAAAGACTGAGGTGAAGGAAGAGATGGCCTGAGATTTTTTCAGTGAAGGACGAGTGACGTCCTCAGCTAAGGGAGTTGGGGAAAGGTGCTACATAGAAGATCTGAGAAATGAGGAGAAGGTTTAGAAATGCCATTGTGGTGAATGGGATAGAGAAACAATCAGGGAGATGTAAAAGGATTGCCCTGCTGTGGTGAGAGCCTAGTTGAGATTCCATAACATAAATCCGTAGTTGATCCGTTAGCATTATTTTGGCATTTTCTCCAGTTCTGTTCAGTAGCATGTCAATAAGAGTAAAGGATGTGGATGGTGGCAGTAATCCAAGATTGGGGCTTGGCAGAGCATGACTGGCAATAGAATAAAGGGGCAAAAGGCTCAAGTACATAGGATAGTATGAAGTTGACCTGGTTCACCAAAGGGTTGAGATAGGAAAGGGGAAAGAGTAGTGCAAGTGATTAGAAATATCTGGTAAAGAATTGAGGGATGAAGGAATCGGAGGTCACAGTGAGGGCAAAAAACAGGATGAGGGGTGATAAGGCAGAAGAAAAGATAAAATGATAAGATTATGACTAGATAAAGGAATTTCAGAGTTAATCAACATGAAAGCAGAACACTTGTGAGTGATAGCAAAATTAAGAGTAGGATCATTTTTTTTTGGTAGCTAAGGTAGAAGGGCAGGTCATGAGAAATGAGTAAATTGAGGAACTGGGAAGTTATGATGTTTGAAAGAGTATATATGTGTGTGTGTGTGTGTGTGTGTAGTTATATGTTATATTTGTGTGTATATATATATGTTAAAGTCTCTTAGTATCATGGAAAGAGTTGGGGTGGAGAGACAGACGGTGGTCCAGGCACTGAATTCACTGAGAAAGGAAAGACAGCATTCTGGGTAGTGTGGTTAAATAACAGCTACCAGAATCATGATTGGGTGATAAATTTCTATTGAATGAACCTCAAAGGAGGAGAGATTACTAAGTGATATTGACAGTGAGAGAGTCTAGAATTAGAAATGGAGAACGAGGAGTATTCTGGCTCTGCCACCTCAACCAGTGAGTTGAGAGAGAGGGGGTTATGGGTAAAGGTACAACCAGTACTGGAAAGAGTAGCCAGGGATGCAGTGTCATTAGGAGGAAGCCAGGTCTCAATTAGAACTAGAAGAAGGAGTGGGAAAGCAAAGATAAAAGATAAAAGGAAGTTTGTTAGTCATGGGGCAGGCATTCTAGAGAGCACCATCAAAAGAACAGGACGATAAGGAGAACATTTGATAGGGCTGAATTGAGGAAGGTGTTGTTGTAGGTCCTTCATTCTCCAGGAGGACGAATGACTTCAGTGAATTGGATTTAAGTGAGGCAGGGCTATGCAAAGTCATCAGCCTCACTCTCTCCTCCAGAGTCCAGTGGCAAGACATAGGTCAGGACAACTGATGATGGTCCCTGAGGAGGGTGAGAGTAAGGGAGAAGGCAGTGGGGATAGGGAATAGGGTTTTTACAGTGACTAAGTCACTAAGAGTGTGTGTGTGTGTGTGTGTGTGTGTGTGTGTGTGTGTGTGTGTGTGTGTGAGAGAGAGAGAGAGAGAGAGAGAGAGAGAGAGAGAGAGAGAGAGAGAGAGAGAGAGAGAGAGAGAGAGAGAGAGAGAGAAGAGGAGAGAGAGAGAGAGAGAGAGAGAGAGAGAGAGAGAGAGAGAGAGAGAAGAGAGATTATGATGGGGGTGGAGTATACTAACCACTGAAGAATGAATCCACGCTGAGTATCAGTGGCTGGAAAGAGGTCAGTTGAGGGAAGCAGGTGAATAAACTGTTAAGGGCCTTCCCTTAAAGTCCAACCCTATAGCAGGTAATGCTGCATCCAATAAAGGCCAATATGTCTATCTCACAGCAAGCAGCAGCAGGTGAAGGTGATGGCTTGGGACGATCAAGAGAAGAGGCAGATATCTCATTCTAGGTGGGTCTGATCCAAGACAAGCCTCCAGAGCACAGAAAAAGGCCTTGAGGTGAACATAGAGGCCACAGGCAGGCAGACTGGGTCAGGGCTCACACAAGGCTCCCTGGGAAGTCTTTGGAGCTGTGGAAGATAGGAGAGAATATATTCCAGGTCTAGGGGACAACCAGTACAAGACCAGTCAAACAGGTGGGAAGAGGACCAGAAGAGAACAGTTATCATAAAAAACCCAGGAAAGAAAGTATCTAGGAGGAAGGAGTAATCAACAGTATCAGATGCTATAAAGAAGTCAAGAAGAAGACTAAAAAAAGGCCTTGTCAGGTACCTTTGGAGAGAGCAACATCAGTGGAGTGATGAGATAGAACTAGATCGCAAAGGGTTTAGAAGACACTGAAAAGTGGAGGTATTGAGTGTGATTTTTTTTTTTTTACTAAGAGA